TCCGCAGCCGTTCTTCACAATCAACCACAGCTTGTAGTCGTTGGATTGGATAAAGATTCTCATCCTCTCCTTCCAATACGAGTAGTTTGTTCCAGCGAACAAAGGTGGCCTCGTGGTTGATTGTCCCTCGGTCACTCCTGCGTTGAACATCCTTGATGCCATTTGATCTTTTAGCTCCTGAAAAATAACGTATTCGAAGAACTTCCCGCTCCGATACCAATTGTTAGAAAAATGTGCAACTCTAGAGGGGGGGGGGTGAATACAGTTGTTTTCAAGAATGTGCGTTTTTCGCGTGTAAAAGAAAAATCGCAGGAATAAGTAAAGAGAGTAAGGGAAAGAAGAACACCGGGATTTATACTGGTTCACCACCTCGTGGCTAGTCCAGTCCTCCGAGAGACTCTCTCGAAAGTCCTACTAATCTTCAAGCTTCAACGGGTGCTTGAAAAACCGGTACAACTTGAGAACTAGAATCACACAAGCCTCACTTTCTTACAACAACAAGACTTGAGTCACACAAGTCTTATGAACAACACTCAAATGAGATTGAGTTTACAACACAAGAATGAAAGCTCACACAATTGAGCAAAGTAGTGTTTGAAGGATTAAAGCTCTATGGATGACAACTTCTTTAGCACTCAAAAAAAATATTTCTAACTCTCAAAAATAATGTTTTGATGAGGAAGATGAAGCAAGGAATGACAAAGGCTCAATGAATATTTGGAGTGCAGGAGTGAAGTGTGGAGAAGAAGGAGAATGAGGGATTAAATAGGCTGACTGAAAATAAATCCGTTGGAGCAGGTTGAGAATATGCACCAGATAAAATTAATCGATTAAGGTAGAAGGTTAAATCGATTACGGTACACAAGAGCGAAAAGCCTGAAAAGAAAAACAGACCATAATCGATTAAATGAAGTCCAATAATCGATTAGTAGGCTCTAATCGATTAATTGATGAGGAATAATCGATTATTTGTTCAAAGTTGAGCAGCCCACCGAAAAGCTTATAAATCGATTAAAGTGAAGCAACAAATCGATTAGGCGGTTCTGTCCAAGCTAATCGATTTTCATAAAAGAAATAATCGATTAATTATTATGTCCAGAGAAATTGCGCTGGATCTAATCGATTATCATAGAGGAAATAATCGATTAACAGGAAAATAATGCGCAAACACAAAGGGCTCAAGCCAATTGCGATTGGAAGGAGTTTGGATTGTAACTCGTTGTTTGGGACAATGGACGCTCCTCGGATAATATCTCCCTATTCA